CTCATTTGACATTTAAATAACAAAATCTTGAACCAGCTAAAGAGCTAATTATCTGAGCATAACTTTTTCTTTCATTTGGTGGACAAACATACATTTATGCTTATAATCTGTGTTTAGATTTTATTCCTTTGGGTAGCCACTAGCCTTACTACAAATGTAGTTTGTGCTTATATTCCATTCTCTGTATGTAACAGGCATGTGAGATAAAGCTGAATTATTTCCTGTATAGAACAAGTTTCCCTTAAATGCTGTGGAAAGAAAGCATTCATTCTATCCTACTCCTGCCATTGATTTAAAAGGAAAACAAGAAAATACTGCAACCACCTTTTGCTTTCTTTCAAAAATTCAAAATTTAGGCAGTTTCTTTTTTTTTTTTTTCCAAAAGATTTGTGCTGTACCCACCCCCCATAAAAGCAATACAAAACAGCACCCTGAGGACAAAAGCATATTGAGGATTCTACTGGGATATAAACAATGTAAGAGGACAAAACTCGGTATTTTTCCCACCTTCCAGAGACCTAATTTTCTCTATTGGCTACTGTAACAAGTGACAGCAGCACATTATTTTGAAGATATAATTTTAAAGTATGCTTTTAATGCCCAAAATTCTGATTTTTCTTAGAACGGAAGGCTGTATTTTCATGGGAAGGGGAAAGAAGCCTGTGCTTAAAGAAAGACACTGTTTGTGTGAGAACATGATTACGATTGTACTGACCCGAGCAAATGTGACATCCAGTCCAGCCTCCTCTCTCCCACTGTCACCCACGGTGGATACCTAAGGAACCTTTAGAAGAACAAGGCAGACACTGTGATAGTCTCCTGTGGATGTGACATGCAGTACTAGAGTTGCATGAAGAAGTAGTATCTTTTATTAGACCAAGACATACAGGTGGAATAACCAGACAAAATTTCAGCCATATGAACTTTTCTTCGGGTTAGAAACACCAGCTGCAGCTCTTAGTAAAGAACTATTGTTTAATATTTACTAAGCTATTGATTAATTAAGCAAGTTCTGAAAGGCAGATGGTAGCTGTAGAATGGAGAGGACATTAATGATGCAAATGATGCAGAAGATGTTAAGGATGGGAGAAAGAGGTGGCATTTATTAGCTATACAAAAAGTAGAGACAATTACCTTACAGTCTGTTGATTCTGAGAGAGGTAAGCAGGGCGACGGAAGAAGAAGGTAATTATAATTTACTGTCAGACCAGCATCTCTACTGAGTCACAGATTTGGGTGGTGGGCAGAGTTAGGAAACCTAGTTCCCATGCCCACTTTTGTGGAGCAAGTTCTGTAGCTTCCCTTAAGGAGCAGGACTCAAAGATCCTGTCTTCTGAGAAACTACATCACTGACAGTGTTGTGGTCTATAAAGACCTGAGTGGTCATTTTCAGCAACAAGGCTACCAGGAAGGCAGCCGTGCACAGGATGAAGTATGTTACAGTCCTGGAACTGCTGATGTAAGACCAGAGATGCTGGTGGTTTGATGGCAGGGGGTGTTCATTCCTGGAGTAGTGGATGGGCATCAACACATCTGAATGTTTCTTGCTCAGGCAGGATTTAAACTCATCCAGTGTTTTGGACCACAGAGAATTACACTTCTAATGATGACTTTTGTGGTTTGGGGTGCTTGAAATGTAGGACAAGTGCTTCTGGGAAGATTCTTTCCACATAGATTTTCTCTTATGTGAAAAATCATTAAGCAATTAAAACCAGCAAGCCTGAGGAACTTTCCTGAACTTACCAGCTCTCAGCCCTCATTCTTTCCCCCACAATACTCCATCCATTCCCATTTCCACTTTTTCAATCTGAGCTTGTCTCACTGCTACATCCCCATCTATGCTCTAAGCAGTTGTTGTCAAGTTGCGAAATAGCAGTAGTTGCTGCTTCAGAACCAAACAAATAACTGTTTAACTAAAAAATTAATCTACTTTTCTGGCTATGCAAGCTATTACTTGCATGAACAAACCTCGTCCTGTACACACTGATCTTTCTCCTAGAACAATCTTCTCACTTGTTGCACACAGCAACTTAGAACAGCGACTTTTTGGTGTTTTTCAGTTTGAGAAATATTTCCTAAATATTTACAAAGCAGACCTGCATACACAGAATTTCACCCAACTGCTGATGGACTTGGGCATCTTAATTACCCAGGTCTGAAGACCACAAGCCACAGAAATCTGAGACTAGATAAAAATTCACATTCATTTTTTATGAGAAAGAGTATTTGTAATCCTTGTTCATATCTGAAGATCCATTGTTCAATTCTTTTAGGATGAATAGGAAAACAATACACTCATTTAGGGCAGAATATAAATTAGGCTTTGTGTTAGAGAGGAATTAGTAATTTTAATCACTGATGTAGATCTGAAGAGGAAAATCTGTCGCTTAAAACTGTAAACATGATATGCAAGTAATCAAACTTTTTTTAGCAGAAGATGGAAAAAGGTATCATTAGTGCATATAATTTTGGAACCGTGGTTCTCTGAGAAGAGAGTTCCTGACAGAACTCAATGAACCTCAGCAAATGAGGACGTCAGCAATCGACGTGTTGGGGAATTTCTACAGATGATCCCTCCCCTGCAGTCGTTACACAGCATAGATCTTGCTATTAATTAGTTTGAATGTGGGACAGCACTGCTGGGAGAAAGAAAGTGGCCTAAATAGCACCGTCCAAATTTTATCTGTTAGCTATCCAAGAAATACGGATGTCTTTTATTAACCCTTGCAACCTGTGACAGCTAGAAATAAATGCTGGGCTTGTCTTATTCCTAATGGATTTTTGCAGCTCATTAGCGTATAAAGTGGAGAGGGTGGGAGGAGGCTGCAGAGAAGGAAGACATCTGGCCAGAGAAGTTTCAAGCCTCGTTCAGCTGAATGGCAGCATTAACCATCAGACAAATACAAGGACATTAACGTCCACAACGCAAAGGCTCAGTTACTGAACGTGTGGAGAACGTGGTAGGATTCTCCTCCTCTCCAGGAGCACGGTTATTATTCTTTTTTAATTCCAACGAGTCCAGTAAATCCCCCATCATCTCTCCAGACCATGCATTTCGGAAGCGCCAAGAGGACCTTCTTCTGCAGGACCAGCAGGGCTTCAGACACGTAGAAAGAAGTGGCCCCTGCTGGCGGTCACTTCATGCCCATTCACCCCCTCCTCAGAATATAGCGAGTATTTAAAAAACCTGACGGGAGGCATTTGCAAGTTACGCTGCATTGATCTTCAATTAAGCTGGAATAGCTGCCCACTGGGCAGAGGGAGGAAGGGGAAAACCCTGTAGTGATTATTTTCCTATCTCAGCCTGCTGCTGTGGACATGATAGGAGGAAGACGCATGTAAAACACTGGCAATAACTCAGCAGCGAGATACTTAAAGCGTCTCTGGAGGGAAGCGAGTTGAGGCCACTCGCGTCCCGCCGATCGCCCGTGGGAGATGAAAACACCGCCCTCTACTCTCAAACTGCGCCCCAAGTTACTACAATAAACCCATCTTCTAGATTTCAGTCCTGCAAAGACGCTCCGCGATTGTTGGCTGCTCCCAGGAGCGGACCCCGGCCCGCAGCATCGCCCCCCGCCCCAGCCCTGCCCTTTGCAGTATCGATCGCC